TCCAATAAGTATCTTTACCAATAATTGTGGTGACATATATTGATATAATGCAGATAGATTCATTCTATATCTTCCGTGTTAGATATTGAGTTCCAAAATTGTTTCATATTATTCATTTCATTCTCTTTCAACTATTTTCTCCAATATTTAGTTTTTCTTTTTACCGCTGATACTAGTGTTGTTTCAACTCATTAGATAGTCATCTTGTTAAGTTCACTTCATATTGTTGATATAATGTAACAACTAGGGCGGATGTGTATTCCTGTCTCATCTTGTGTTGATTATAACAGACTAACTGAAGTGTACCCCCAAATGCCCTGATACGGCCGAGAGTGGGGAGAGTAAGCTCTCCCTCTCACATGGCCACGTGCATGCAACCACTACCAAGGAAGTCCTACTCATTGCCTTCTCGCCGCTGGGGTGTTGTTTACGAAATTGAGATGGTGAAAAGCGAATGTCCGGGGCTTTAATCAGAGTGGTGGACACGAAGAGTCCATCTAGAGGAGTTTGAAAATCCTGATTCCAAACCACTGGTGCACATGGGCTGACTCTAGTATCCTGAAGGAATAAATGGCCTATGAACCTATTGTTGGTCAACGGCTACCATGGGACTGCATCTCTTGACGTTACTTCACTCTCTTGTGGATTAGACCTTTAGTTCGAAGGCTGCGGGTGTGGCCCCCCAAGAAAACCACCTGCTTTGGTTTGGTCACCCGTGCAGTATTCCATCCCTCACACATATCGGATGATTTGTGTGGCACATATCTATTTTGTGCCTCTTTGTACCAATGTTTATATGTTTAAATAGAATAAAAACTGAAGTATTTTTGGCAGTAACCAAAAAAATGCTGATTAAAGGTCTTATTACATAACGGTCATTGAATTTAACAGTAACACCAAGTTTTACCATCGAAGCATATTTTTTCGGGAGCTATGCTCACTGACAATAGTTACATAATGTCACATAGTTTGTCAATTAGTAACCATTTTTAATTTTCAGACTAGTGATTCACTCTATCATAGATAACGCTGGTCAAAATGCTCAAATCTCATATAAGTACGATGAGATTTAAACTTAGTATGGGATTATCCTAATGAGGTTAAATAATTGTATCCATTCAAATGGAAAAGTAACTACGATTGAAAAAGAAAAAATGAAATAGATGAGTTCGAAATGGGAAGTGGAAGATTTAAGGGGACGGAACATCGATAAATCACTACCATCTTCTTACTTATATCCTTATATGCAATCTTTCTTATATACATTACCATCATTGAATTGATTACTTCTATGAATCCGGTGTTCATCTTGTTGTGCTAATGCGGTATGGCAACTTGGACCGATGCACATATGTGCCTGGTCCTACGTTGTACCTGACTGACTAAGTTGTATTAGATCAATTGTTTACTAAAACGCACCGAGGAAACAAACTTCACATTAGCTATAATAAATTTAATAAAAATGGATTTATTTATACGTGTGTGTAATAAATTACCTGCATGAACTGTTTGGATATGTTGTTTCAGATGGCCATTTTGTGTAAAGCAGGCATTACATATATCACAGGCAAATGGTCTACGACCTAAATAATGTGAAATAAAATCAACACTTAATTTCGGTAAATGAACTAATAAGAGTGAATATCCAATCAACAATGACCAGAAGTTATAAGGTCAATCCAAAACCTACCAACGTTTTTTATGTAGAGTTATCTATCAGATCATTGTAGTTCAGTAGCTTTGGAGCTTGAAGCTATGAGCATTGAGTATCAATCTCCACTTGAAAATAAACACGAATGCAGATATACCTAGTGGACTATATATCGGGTGAAACTGAGTTCTGACTGGTTACTAAGCGAAGGCAGAGAGCCCGTCTGTAATTTGTCATGCAATTAACGGTTTTATGTTGTAACTCTGATTTCTAACCTGAGTTACACTGCTTGTATTTTTGTGAATAAAACCAGTGTGCGGTCGATAATCTAGTTTTCAACCGCTAGGCGGAGTTGTTTACCGATGTATGACGTGATCTAGTTTGCCCAATCTATCACTCAACAACATACTGATTATTAAAAAAAAGTCATGCATTAGTTTCTCAAAGTCATTTTAATTGTAACTGAAGGTCATCCCGACTGTTGTTGATACTGTAGTGACCTACTTTTATCAGAAGAACGCGATCGTTGTAATGGAAACAATTATTATAATAACCAATTGTACCAGAGATTGCTTTACTGTACTTGTTTGTTTAACTGTACTGGAGACATACTTTTTTCCGTTGACTGTGACCTTGCATGAATTCGGTTACGCTCAGTAACCCCAAATGTAACCTGGCACGATCTCGGTATTCTTTCAATACCACGAGATTGCCAACAAATACAATTCAACTGCAGCCATCAACTGCCTTCTGATATTTGGCCTACGGGGGATATTATCGGTTAACTGGCGTGTAGTATTCTTGTAGTGGTGATCATAGTCAAACGCGATTCGACGTCACACTACAATACCTTGACGTGGTGGTCAGGTTTGCTTATCGTGATGAACCAATCGAGCTATACTGTCTGGAACGGTCGTTCCTCAAGGTCCTACCATACCAAACAGGACAATTAAAGAACGTTTAGACTAAAAGCAGCAAACCCAAGGTCTGAGGGAGAAGTCGTACTGCTGATTGTACAGAGGTGTGACGACATCAAGGTGTTTCCTTCATACAACCAACATGACAGTGATGCTGCCTTCCCACAAGGAGGGGTGGGGTTAGAAAAGGTCAACCCTAAAAATTGACACCTCGCCTTATTCCATGGATACTCTTCTCTGGCGGTAAGGTCTCAACAGGTGCGGAGCTAACACAAAAATACTCGCAAAAAGGTCTTGTGTGACCGACCTTAAGCAGTTGTCCCTTGGGTACCTCCAGAAGAACCTTTCCACGGCGTAGGCAACCGGGAAGTGATAACCGCTCTCGTAATTCTAACAGCACTCACGACCAGTGACTGACTGAAGGTCATCACAGTAAGATAAGTTTTCATCCAACTTCCATTCAAAAAGAATTTATAAGAAAAATAAATCATAGCCGACAGTAGTTTCATATTCCTGACGATTAAATCATCAGTGCCTATTTACGCATCTATGGAGAGTGGATCTATTGATTATGAAAAAAGCAATTGAAGAATCAAACATATCAGCCAATAATAAAACTTTTAATACTACTGTTACTTACCTTCATGAACGGCAGATTTATGACGAAGTAATTTACTTGCATGACCGAAACATTTCCCACAAATATCTCACACATGAGGTCTTTCAGCTAATTGTACATTGGAAACATTGATTAAAAAAACATGGTCTTGTAGTGCATCGAATTATTGATGTGTACCAGTTTAGTGATAAGTATGAAACGTACAGTTACATCAGAAATGACTTTTCAAAAAATAAAATGGGTGTTATATGAAAGTGAGATTGAGAAAGGTTAAATTTTCGAATGTATCCATAGGTGGCGACAATCAATTTATTGTTCAATATAAAATTACAGAAACTATTGGTAAAATATAAAAATCATACTATTATTATTACTATTTGAACACATAGATATTGGTGCAAGGAGGCACCAAATACATATGCGCCGCACAAATCTCATTTAGTTTGTGTGAGGGCTATGATACTGCCCGGGTGCCTAAACCGAATCAGAATGAGAATCATACACTGAATAATTCATTTGTAAATTTCCATCATTTTTTACATTTACATTTTGTATGATTCTTTCAGTTCACAATTCTTTTCTATTCTCTTCAACTTCAGCTTCTTAGACTTCTGCTGCCAGAGTTTACACATCCGATTTTCACACCACTTATTTTATCTGTCTGTGAACTCCATTTGATTATTGCACCACCCATCCTTAATGTTTCCTTGATTGTAAAGTCAAATAACCTCTGACCTGTTACGGCATATATACATATGTATATAGTTATTATTGATAACCTACGTTATTCCAATTCTTTACATTCAGTTATGATAACTGTTTCCTACCTCAATGTTAAATTCTAATGCATATTTGGTTGTAAGCAGCTGAGGACAAGCAATGAAATATAATGAATGCATACTATTCTGCATTAATATTTCTTCTGGTTTTATTTAAATTCATAGGCAGAACTAATCACATGAAATTATAGTCTACTTAGTTACTGATACTAGTTTTGATAATAAACGTAATACGACGATGGTAAATATGTCATGTGGGTGCCTAGTCTGTAAGACTTTACTTGGAAATAGCTTCACTTATTTCTTCATAATTCTTACAGACACTGACTCGTGAGCGTCATTGGTATTCATCCCCATGAAAGTAGGAATAAGAGGAAAGTAAAAATTATGTAAAACTTTATTTATTCATCATTAATACTGAAGCATAAAAACAAGTTTACAAGTTATTATTAATAATTCTTAAATAATAATTGTTCACTTTTTTCTCAGCTTCCGTCGCGAAACTTTCACTATATTTCTTGATGATGTGATGCCTATTAATTCTTTGACTTCGTAGAATCCTTATATACTCATCACTTCGTCTCGGTAATGCAATTGTTGTGTTATTTTGAAAGTTATGAGTAATATGTAACTTCATCTTTTTGTCACAGCAAATCCATTACCTGCTTTCGAGTACGACAACCTGAAATATATTTTTATACACTTACCTGTGGAGAGCTTAGCTTTCATAGTCTTTACATCAGCAGCGGTGACCACCTTACCAGTTCTCTCCTTGACAAATTATATAACTTCATCTGCTGACTGCGACTGCAAAATGACTGGCTTCAAATTCTCTTTCTCTTCCGACGACAATCTTCTTGTCCATGGATCACAAACCATCCATAAACTACTACATGGATGATTGTGGAGCATCTTGTAGGATTTTATGACATATCCTTGCGCCTTCAGTCTTACATGGAACTTTGATTGGCAATTAAGGAATTTAGACCTTAAACGTCAGATATTAGGTAAAGTTCTCACGATTTTTGACTCACTTTTAAACCTTCCGATTAAAAGAAACATTAATTGACAGTTAATATCATTAAAACTTACAGATACTCTTTCAAAATATAATAAAGCATCGGCAATATCCATTGCAATTGTTAACAACTCCACTCTTTGTCGTTTAATTGTAATATCAGAGAATATTTCTTTGAAATCATTTGAATTCTTTAAAATTACATATGATGAATTGATTGTTCGTTCATCTGCCCAAAAATTGAGTCCAGGTGGTGGTCTTTGACGATGACGACTTCGTAGAAAATCACGTAAATTACCATGAATAGCTAATTCAAGAAGGACGTATGGATGATGATCTGAAGATAAATAATAAATAAATAATAAACATGAATAATATTGTTCGTATGATCATCAGTCCCTTCATACAATAATAGTTTGATATTACTTTGATGATTTTGATTATTCTACCCTGAAGAAGTCCAGACAAGTTAGCTGGACGAAACGTTGGAATTGCTATTTTAAATTTCAATCGATGAGATTATTTCACAAATATAATAATTTTCATATATAATGACTTCTCTATACTACTCGGCGATCAATTTCTGTTAAACTATTCGTTCTGATTTAGACGAATATTCGTATAAAATAGCTTGATAGTTATTGTTTACTTACAATGACATCTCCAACATGAATGTTGAAATATCAAGGTAAATAAAAATAAATATACACAACAATAACAAGCTTAATTTTAATAGTTTATATTCATAAGAACAATCATGTCAACTTTAAGACAACAGTCCAAAGCATTAAGAGGGATCCGATGAATATGTAATTCTATTTTTATCTTATAGTTATTAAATAATCAAATGAATAGATCTGTGGTGTTTGAATGAATTAACGATTCCTTTTGTACTTGCAGATTGCTTGATTTCGATTTGTAAATACAGTACATTCGCGTTTGTGCTTATCTAGTACTCCTTGATCCGATTCAGTTATTTCTGGGATTCATAATTCAAATACTCCTAATGCATCATAAGATCATTTATTCAAAATTATATATATACAATCATATGAGGTTTACAATAAATAATGGTAACATATTTATGATTGTAGACTTGACACACATAAAGAACTAGTTTAGTAGAGTCTTAAACTTGTTATGTGATCATAATATCATTGATGAGTTAAAACTTTAAAAAATGGCTCAGTTTATAAAACAAAATCTTGATCCCATCTAACAGACAATACGATAAGGGAAGTTTGACCGTAGTTGCGCATGCCCGACCACCGACTGCCCCGGCGTGCGATATTTTATGGTGTAGGAGTAGGTTAGAAGAAAGCTAGGGGCGACCAGACCAAAACATGGCACAAATCCATGACGTCACTAACATGTAGACTGAGCCATGTTGGTAGGTGTAGACTACCTGGTTGGGATCCGCGAGACGATAGCAACCGATGGTTAGAGATCTTGAATGACATGGCTCAAAATCGTTTGCAATGACGCAGGCGCATCCACTTTTTGTGTCCTCTAATCTTCTGAATTCTTCGTGTCCTTTATTTTCTTTCCAAATCTATTCCACTGGATTATACTCCTTAAATAATATTATCAAACCTTAATGTTCCCTATTACTATTTATACTTTCACCACATCTACCACTACAGGATTTGAATCGATAACTGAATCTCTGTGCTAATGTGGCAGGTATGGTAACTCGAATTGATGTACGTACGTACGAAGTTCCACGTAGTTACTGACTGACTGACTGACTGAATTGAGGTCAAATAATCTCCCCAAGAAATAGAATAAAATGCAATCATTTCTGATTAGCTCTAATACTTTACAGAAAACTGGTCATATCCTATGGGTACATACATGTGTATTGTGAATGTTTTGAGTGAACAATGTGAAAGTAAATTCGTGGTTAAGATAATGATGATATATGGAAAAAAGAAAGAACTCATTCGACTTAATGTTCTAGATATTTAAGGACTTAGTTTTTAGCTACTGTAGCTTTCATTTTCTAATGACAATATTCAATTCATTTCAAGTTGAAACATTTGGTAATATAATTGGACACTGCACATAGATACTGCACTGATAGAGAGAACTAATACAACGGTCTCAGAAAATATTTAAAATTACAAACTGGGGTTTAATGAAAATACAATGATTAGACATAAAAGAAAATTTGGAGGCGTAATGAGAATTGAAAACTGATGACTAAGAATTACAATAGATGCACTGTTGTATTGTCTTAGTTTACAAATACGACCGAGTCGTTAACCATTGCTAAATTATTGGTATTCAAGATAAGAAGTTATAAAACTACATTACTGGATATAACCTAGAGTATAAAAACGTGAGGCTATTTTTTGGTTAGTATAGGATAATCATAAACAACTACGTGCATTGATCTCATCACTCACGTCACCACCAGCACTTATGCAGCTACCCAGATACACGAACTTCTCGACTACTTCTATCTGCTCACCATCGAGAGTGAATACAGGATTAGAATCATACCAGTCTTGTAGAAGTACTTTGCACTTCGAAGGTTCAAAGCACATACCATACCTACGGACACTGATTGCCAACTGACTAAGTGCGGATCGCATGCCTTGGGTATTATCGCACAGTAAGACAATATCATCCGCATACTCAAGGTCGAGAAGTCTTTCTCCAGGCAACAGATCCACACCACCACTACTTACATCCATCAGAGCTGTTTCCAGAATGTCATCGATGGCAAAGTTGAAATGGAATGTTGAGATTGGGCGACCCTGTCTAATCGCACTGCTTGAATGGAACAATGGAGAAAGGTGGTTGTATGCCCTCACTCTACCTGAGGTGTTTGTATATAAGGCTTTTAGGATGTTAATAAACTTATCAGGTACACCATTCTTCAATAGACAATCCCAGAGAACAGTCCTATCCAACGAATCGAAGGCAGCCCTGATGTCGAGAAACACTACGATTGTTGGCCTTTGATAAGTATGGCGGTGTTCTAACATTTGGCGGATGGGGAAGATATGATCAACACATCCTCGACCAGAACGAAAGCCAGCCTGCTCTTCGCGAGTCAATCTTTCTCGGGTTTTGAGCAACCTACGAAGTATTTTTGTTCTTCCTTTCTTGAATATTGTCTGTGGTTTCCATGGGTATCCATTCCTTATGATAATGCTTCTCGAGGCCCATAACCCTATGACACGTTGAAGTTAGTGTTTCTTTGATCCGTTCCCAGTTGTTTTCATAGTAGTTTCTTCTTTGAGTAGATTTTGTAAGGCTTGTAACCTGAAGTTGAGAGGTATCTTGAACTCGTTGAGTTTGTGAGTATTTCGAAGGAAGGCTGTATTAAACTTATGTAATGCTGTTAGTTCAGTTTTTCATCACTTCTTTAGCTTCAGTTTTATCTTAGAAACCACTAGGTGGTGATCTGAAGCTATGCCAACTCCTCTCATAGTTCCCTCGTCTTCTATTGACCTTCTGAATTTTTCAGCGATACAAATATGATCTATCTGATCCGGTGAGACCCATGTAGCTTTGTGTATGCGTTTGTATGGGAATATTTTGCTGCTTATGATCAATTTGTTGAATGCACATAGATTTGCAAATCTCTTCCCGATTTCGTTGTTATCTCCAAGTCCATGTCGTCATATCCGGTATTATCCATCCCGACTTTGGCGTTTAAGTTTCCCATCAGTATGGTCAGGTATTCTCCTATGCACTTCGCTATGATTGATTGCGGCCTCGAGTAGAGCTGATCTTAATCGTCTTCACTGTTACCACTGGTGGATGCATAACATTGGATAACATTGATTGCGATTCCCTTCTTCTTTGTTTTGAAGAATGCTTTTATGATCCTGGGTCCATAAGATTCCCACTCAACAGATTCATTTTGCGCTTCTTTGGGCATCATCAGAGCAACTCCTTGAGTGCGTTAAGCATTTCCCTCTTTATGATCGGAGTACAGAAGCATCTCCCGAATTTATATTCTTCTTTCCAGCTTGTATCCGATATATTTCACTAATTTTGAGCGCTGCCAAGTTGTATCTCACCATTTTCGTATCTATGTGATTGATATTCCTGGTCTTCCGCATTGTCCGAACATTCCATGTATCCATATTAAATGTTGCTCTGGTTATTTGAAAGGGCATCAGTCTCGTGACTTAGGTAGTATCTCGGCTTTCACCATGAGGTGTTATAATTCTTCTGAATGAAGGTCGTTCAACTCGGAGTCTAGAACACAGTAAACACACTTCACTATGCGAATATTATACTTCTAACATACGTAATTTATACACAGACATACTGTGGTGTTTGAATGAACTAATGATTGCTTTGTACTTGTTGAATGTTTGATTTCGAATTCTAAATACAGTACATTCGTTAGTGTTTGTGTAATACTTCTTGATTCAATTGCGTTATCCCTGTGATTCTTAGTTCATACTATAATTCAGTTACTTCTAATCATCATACATACCCAACCACATTACATTATAAAATGATAGGTAACAATTATGATATGATCAAGCCAAACAGTGGCTGTGAGTATGGGGGGGGGGAATGTAAATAACAAACTGTCAGGAGATTAAGAATAGTAGATTGTAAAACAGTAGTTAATAGGTCAACTGAGAGCTTATGATAAAAGAAATATAAGTATCCAATATATTCCACATGTAAGTCTCCATTATTTACTGGAAAATGTTTGGTGCTGGCTTTACACCGAACGGTAATAGGATAAATTGAGACCATGGTGATTATTAATGGTTAGGAACTCCTTTGAAACTTTGTCAACTCTCACTCGTAAGTAAGTTTCAAATGAACTAATTCGGAAAAATAACGTCCACCGTTTAATTTAACAAATAAATCATCTGGTAAGGGTAGTGGATATGAATGATTTGGTATAGCGCCATTTAATTTAGTTGAAAAGCCTGCACAGAGACAAATACTTTTGTTTGCGTCCTGAATTACCACAATTTGGGCTGCCCATGCCGAATAATCAATGAGTTGTACGACAATGAGACTCTAGTCACTTTAATTCATTGTCAATTCTATCAATGGGCGCATATGGTAATTGACGTTTTGGACGAAAGATAGACTTCACATCTTGTCATAAGTATAATTTTGCTTTACCAATTATGCAGCATCCCAACTTATTCTGGAACAAGTCTGTATGTTTCCACAAAAGGTCTTCTATGGTCATGGCTTTCTTAATTACACGAATGGTGGGCAGACCTCTTTGACTATTTGAACTTTTCATCGTGCATATTTAGTTCAATAATACATCTCATAGATTTAGTTTGTCTATACAATCTATACCAATAAGGTCCAAATCATGTATGTTCATTAAATAAT